GAAAATTGCATTTAAAGTCATGAATTATTTGAAACCATTCTATAAGGCAACAAAAACTAGTTTTGGAGTTTATTATCCAACAAGTAATCTTATACTTTTACAATTTGTAGAAATTGCTAATCAATTTTCAAATCATAAAAACGATCCATTTTTCTATGATATTGTTTGTACAATGGAGGACAAGTTTCGAAAATATTACGAAAATATGCCAATGATTTTTTCAATTGCAGCTGTAATGGATCCTCGTATTAAATTTTTTGGAGTTCAGTGTGCTATGGACCAACTTTCTGAAACTTTATCTTTCAATATAAGTATTACAAATCAGGAAATATAATTTTTTATTAATGAAATGTACAATAAATTACTATGAAATATGGTAATAATGAAAATATTTCTTCTACTACGAGTTCTGCTATAACTTCTAAAGGTAAAAGTTCTTTTTTTTTTTAATAACCAAAAAACGCAATGTGTCTTTTACTTCATGTACTAGTTCATTTTCAAATGAAAATGTTACACCAGTCGAATTAGAAAGATAGTATCAATTTGATTACTACAATTTAATTCCACAAGACGAGGTTGACAACTTAGATATTTTACAATGGTGGAAGTTAAATGAACGGTCATATCCAATATTATAAAAAATGGCCCGAGATCTACTAACAGTTCCAGTCTCAACAATGGTATCAGAGTCTGCTTTTAGTTCAGATAACAGAGTGTTAGATGAAAGAAGATCAAGAATTAAAGAAGATATTGTAGAAGCACTCATCTGCTTGAAAAAACTGGTTATTCGCAGATAGAAGAATGAAAGATAAAGTTGCTGACGATATTGTTCAAGACTTTAAAAATCTTACCATAGATGAATAGAATCTAATTTGTAATGACGAAATTATAATTAAGTAGGTGCCAACCTAATTGTGATGTACTTTAACTATAAGTTTATAAATAGTAATTTTTTTTATTTTTGTCAAGTTAGGCAAAATATTGTTCGAAAAAATTTAAATTTTTATGTTATTGATGTAAAATTTATCGAAAAATAAATCAGTGTAAAATTTATTTTTATATAACTTTAACAATTTTCACTCTAATTATAAAATGTAATTTTTTTCATTTATTTTTTAAATGACAAAAAAAGGGCCGAGCGGGCCAAATGGCCCGAACCAATGATCTGGCCCATGCGGGCTTAGCGTCCGGCCGGGCCCGGCCGGAAAACCCGCATGGGCGATTTTTTTTAAAAGCGGGCTGTGCACGGGCTTTTTTGTGTGCGGACCGGGCCAAGCCGGTTTTGACATATCTAATTGAGAAATATGAAATCCTTCGAAAATTTAAGATAATCCAATATGGGTATGTCGATTGGTCGCATATATATATATATATATATATATATATACTCCATAAGAGAATAATGTTAAATGAAGTGTGTATATCTTCATGTTGGCACTGTTTATTTTTTTTCCCTTTTGTTTTGTTTTGTT